GATACCAAACGATGCCAAACTACGGCCTGTACTGGCCAGGCCGCGCGACGAGGGGGCGCGTGGTATGACTTGGTTCTGCCTGGAAGCGACAGCGAGGTAAGTAATTCACGCTCTGAACTATTTGTGGTAATCTTCTGCGACCGTCCGAACTACCGGCGCCGCTTGAGGCCGGTTGCCCCGCAGTCGTTTCAGTAGCATGTCTGCCGACTGTGATGTCGTGGCTGCTGGCGCCTGCCGTTGGCCCAGCTCTGGAACCAGGCCTCGGAGCTCGTAGCCGCGCAACTTGTTTGGCGGCTGGTGAGTCGGAAGCAGCTGTCGCCGCAGGTAATGGGGCTGCTGGTTCAGCCGGGGCTGGAGGCCCCTGTCCGCGGCTGTCCGGCAGCTTCCACGGTTTGGCAAGTCTACACTTGCCAGGTGTAGGTAAGTGGCCAGGCTTAGCCTTGCCATCGTGATTGTTGTAGTCTGGTTCCGAATCGCAATCGTCTTTGTCGTGCCACCTACTGAGATTGGGGTCTCGATCGTGTCATGGGGGGGGCGCGTTAACGTTACCAACACATGGCGGTCGCATGATACATCCGTCGCGATGTCGAAAGATAGTTGGATCATCCAAATCGAATCCGCGTTCGTTCGTGACAAGAACAGATGAGGCATGACGATGGCCATGAGAAGGGTCGCGATCAACTGCGAGCATGTCGCGTGGACTTTGGACTGCCTCAACCAAGAGGGGTTGCATCTTCGGAGTGCATTGGGCTGACTTGGCCAATTGCTGCAAACCGAGGCATGTTGGTGATGGCCCGTGCACAGTTCATTACCAATGGGTGCTAATACTGAACAGCGGTTGGCGTTTATCTCAATGGGTTGACGTGTCCATGCAACATGAAAGTCGCGAAAGCCCGTGGTGCATTGATCCGCGCTGACCTTGCGAGCGCCCTCGCGCTTAGTCAGTGTCTTCCGTGGTGGTATTTCGTCCACCCAAGCACCCGCTGGTTGCTTTCGCAGGTAGTACCGTCGGAGATCGTCTTGACGTACGGCGACCCTTCAACCAAATCTGATGCGTGGAAGGTCTGCCTTGCGACATGCGTACCACGCGTCATAACTGACCTCCGCGTTGCAGTAGAAAGGTCGCCCACTTGTTATACAATAAGGTTGTGAGATACTACCTTGACATAACATTCATCCAAATCGTGCACTACTGCATCCTGAACTTCCCTGCCCCCATGTCACCGTAAGAACGCTTGTCGAGGTCACCCCCCGAAGGTAATCCTCGGCTGAAAGCTATCTGCGCTGTTCCCCCGCTACCTCCGCACAATTCCAGCGCGTTTACCCTGTTGTGTCGTCCGTAACAAGGTAAGGGCTATGGAAAACACATCAGCACGTGTGTCCGTTGGTAATGTCACGAAGACCCCCCCACCTCCATGGCTGTCAGACCCAAGAGGGACATCGGCGTGAATTGCTCCACATCCAAGACCCTGCAAGCCCTCGCCGCAGTCGTCGCTGCCATCTTCGACGTTCAGGAGAATTTCGCGCGGCTCGATGCCGGGCTAGATGTCAACATTATGTTTTTTTCCCTACCTAAACTCTGCCAAGAAAGGGTTCTTACTCTGTTCGCTCAAAGGGGCCGGCCAGTGCAAACCGCCCCAGGCGGTCCCCCCAGTCCCCTGGGACCCAAGCGAAAAGCAAACGCGCGGTTCTGAACGCTTACGATCTCTCTCGGACCATTCAGATGGCTGCAGCATGAGCACCGATTCCGCGACATGTACACCGGGCTCCTGGGAGGCCCATTTCTGCTCGCGCCTCCCGAGGGGCGTGCTCCAGGCGGGCGCCGGCACGCCCCCGAGACAGAGACGAGCCAGGCCCAAGCCATCCGAAGTACATCTCACGCTCCTAGAGCCAAAGGGTGCTGACCCTCTCGGGCCTTGAAACCCATCAGCGCGCTGAATCGCTCAAGCTTGTCTCGATTCAGGAACTCTGTGAGAAGATCTGATATCATCTCGTCTGTGTGCTTCTTCCTAAGAGACACCTTGAAACGGTCCATTGCTTCCTGCGCTCAGAGCCGCGCAGCGTCGATGTGCTTGGTCTTGTCAAGCCCGCGTCGCGAGACCATGCCCATGGCAGCTGTCGCGCCCACGTTCACACTGGGCTCATGCGCAAGATTCCAGTCCAAAGCTAAAGATCGCAAGCCGCACAACTCGCTCATGAGTGTCGCTAAAGTGTAGTACTCGGCTTCACCACTACTGAGCGCAATGACTGACTGGCCGCGGCACCAATGGTACAAGCAGTGCAGGCCTGCTATCACTGCGCCTCCTGATGTGCTCTTCAGTGTCCTGAGACAACCTGCGTGGTCTGCAGCGCACCACCCTTCTAGCTATGTAGCCGCCTCCTGGTTCTTGAAGTACTGCACATGTCTACGGTTGCTTCGAAGATAGCGCGCAGCATGCTTCAGCAGTGCCACGTGGCGCTCGCACTGGGCCTGCATGCCCTTCGCCATCTCGCGGACAGCGACACCTAGGTCAGGGCGGTCCTGCGCGACGTAGGCCAATCTCATGCACACCGACCGGTGCCAAGTACGCGCCTCCTCTGGGATAGCGATGTCCTCCTCCTCCACAGCGTCGGGCCGCTCGCGGACGCCAGGCGTGGTGAGTCTGGTGTTAGCTCCTCCTGAAGCCAAACCCAACTCGCGAATCACGATGTCGACGTGTCGTGGGTCGCACTCCCACTCGATGCCCTCCGTCGCCCGTGTCAGAAGACGGTTTGAAGTGCGAATGCTCTGCGCAGTGTCCGGCTCGCCCAGTGGGCCGAAGATGCCCTCCACCTTCACGGCCCACTCCTTGCTCGGCCCCTTGAACCGCCAGTCGACGTCGATCCTGGAGGCCAGGCTCACGAAGTTGTCGCCGTGGAGCGTCGTCCTGATGTCTCTGACCGGGCGCCAGAATATGCACGGGGAGCTCCGGCCCTGGCGAAAGCCAAGGGCCTTCACCCTGGTAGCCACCAGCTTCTCCCACAGGGAGGCGGCACCCCGCATCGCATACATGGAGCGAAGTAGCTTGCCAACCAGGTCCCCTGTGATCCCGCGCGCCCGCTCGTAATCCTCAGGGAGCTCCACCAACAGCGCCCGCTCGGCCATTGCGGAGAAATGCGCCTTCTTCGCGTCCAAGAACTGCAGCGCGCGCTGCCCCGGCGTACACCACCTCCTTCCTGGGCAGCATGGCGGCGACCGCGATGCTGAGGGGCACTTTTAACTAAGCCAATGAGAGCATCGCGGCAAAATACTGCTCAACCGACCCCTTATGGCGCATCTCTTTCGCGACAAACCTGCTTCGAACCTGGTAGTCGACCTCGTCGCCCTTGTTCGCGTCGACCCATCGCGCGCCGATCACTTCGTGGCCGGCCGGTCTGGGCACCACCCCCCAAAGGCCGATCTCGTCGATGAACGCGATCTCCTCCATCCGCGCCTCTTGGATGAGATCCCCGGACAGCGCCTTCCCCGACAGGTCGCCCCTGTACACGGGGCCCTCGGGGCCGACGTAGTCACCGCCATCCCACTCGAAATGCTGCTCGACGGGAACCGGGCACTCATCGCCCGAGTCGCGAACCGACATGATCACCCTCTCACGCTGCGACTCGACCAGCGCGCAGATCGCGCCCTCGATCTCGTCGCCCCCCCCGCGGTGGTCGATAAGACGGGCCATCATGGCGATCGTGTCCTCCTCCATCGCCCCCCTGCCATCGCCTCCCACGGGTGGATCGAGGACGCCGGCGGCGCATCACCGGCCGCCCCCTGGGAGTTTGTCGAAGTGGTGCGCAGCATCGAACGTCGTGACGCTCCAGGGGCCTCTTGGGGGCGCCCCAGGGGCTTCTTGGAGACCTCTTGGGGCCCTCTTGGGGCCTCTTGGGGCTCTCTTGGGGTTTGTTGGGGGCCTCCAGGGGGCCTCTTAGGGCCTCCTGGGGGCTCTTGAGCCGAAAGCTCGACATGTTCATTCGGGTTCCCCTTCTGGGCCTCCTCTTGGGGCCATCCTGGGGCCCCTCTTGGGCCGTCCCGGGTGCCTCTTGGGCGGTCTGGGGGCCCTCTTGGGCCGTCTTGGGGCCGTCTTGGGGGCCTGTTGGGCCGTCCTGGGGCGATCTTGGGGGCCTCATGGGCCGTCGTGGAGCGTGGGCAAGCCGAAACGGCGTGAACGTGAACATCCTTCAAAAACCATTGGAAAATCACTATGTTTTTGCTTATCGGGGCTGTCTTGGGGGTGCTCTTGGAGCCCTCTTGGGCCGTCTTGAAGGCGTCTTGGGCCGTCTGGAGGCCATCTTGGGCGTCTTGGAGCGATCTGGAACCGTCTGGGGGCTCTCTTGGACTGCTCGGGACTCTCTTGGACCGGCTTGGGGCGCCCCTGGGTCGCCCCCGGGCCGTTCGAGACCTCAAGGGGGGGGGGGGGCGGCAGAGCGGGGCCCCCTCGGAGGGACTTTCAAGAGGTTTTTGACCAGGCACTGGAGAAGGGGGCCAAAGACTGCGCCAGAAACTGCGCCAGAGAAGTCTCGCACGGCCCAACCTGCAGGGCGGGGGCGGCCGGATCTCCTCGCTTCCGACCTCTGTTGGAATCCGCGTGCATCGGCGGCGGGTGGCTCGACGCCGAAGCCACGCCTTCCGCTGCCCGGCCTTCCCGGGGCGCCGGAGGTTGCAGGCTCGATTCCGAAGCCGCACCTTCCGCTGGCTGCGCCTCCCTGGGTGCCAGAGGCTGCTGGCTCGATGCCGAAGCCGCGCCTGTCGCTGCATCTGCCAGCGACGTCCTGGCCGCCGCCCTCCGTCCAGCGCCTTGAAGAGCACTTGCCGGCGCCTCCTCGGACGCTCGCTTCTCGGCCTCCCGCGCACGCTGTGCGATCAGCCTGAAACTCCGGTCAGGGTCACTCGCCACGGCCGCCTCTATCCTCTGGCGGCACTCGGGCGTATGCAACAAGCCCTGCCGAGGCATCTTCAAAGCGCCCGCTACACAAGCAGGGCAACCTTCCGTACGTCAGTACTTGTCCAAGTCCGCGGACGTGATGCAGTACTTCCGCACGCCTGTGGTCTGCTCTGCCGCCTCGGCGGGTGCCTTCGGCACCTCTGGGCTGTCCGGCAGAAGCTCGGCAGCGCCCGGAAACTCCAGCGCCTCCTGGTCGTCGCTCCCATCAGGTATTGGCTTCCAAGGTAAACCCTTCAGTTTCGACAGCGCCTCGCTGTCGCAACGCTGGTCCTCCAGCAGCCGCCGCAACGACTGCGCCACGAAGACCCCGCGATCCGCGCCAACGATCTTCTCCGCGCTCTCCACCTTCACGCCGAGGAACAGCCACCGCCCCCAGCGCGCCTCAAGTTTGCGCCGCGTGCGTTTCTTGAACTCCACGCTCTCGCCGAAGGCCGGCAGTGGCACCTGCCACACCTTGCCCATCACCCGCTGGAACGGCGTCACGCCGTCCTCCCCGCGGTTGTAGATGTGGCGCAGGTTCGACGCGTGCTCGAGTAGCCACGCTATCACCGGACTCCTTGAGTCCAGCTTCATCCGGGCATGGATCTCCACATGCTCCTTGAGCGTCCGCGCCAGGTCATGGATGCTCTGGGCAGCGCGCTCGGCCTCCCCGTTGGACGCCTTGCGCCCTTCGGGGCCTTCTCGATGATGATCTCGCCGGCCCAAGTCTCCTTGAGCTTCCGGACCACCGCTGCGATCGAGCTCTCCTGGTCACTCTTGACGTTCACCTTCTTGTACGCCAGCCGGTCCAAGTCCGCTGCCAGGACCTTCACAGGGCACAAGTTCACGACACCGTCCCCTTGTGCGGAACTGGGTGTGCAAACGGGCACTTCGCCTTGCAATCGTACCCCGCCAGCGCAGGCAGGTCCTTGCCCGCCACTGCCTCAAAAGGCGCCTCCCCGGGAACACCGAAGAAGCCGTAGTCTGCCGAGTAGGTGCCGCACACCTCCCGGCTCTCGCCCCGCTTGAAGCGGGGGCAACTTTTGGCGCGCCCTCGCACGCAGGCCGCGCGCCGCGACCTGAAAGGAGGATGCGAAACCTCGTGGTCTTCAATCATCTTCTGTGCAAGCTTCGGAGGTGCAGCCATTGCCCTCGAAGCTGTGCTCTCCTCCTCCGCCGGGGGCTGCCAGCTCGATGCCGCAGCCGAGCCCCCAGGAGGTGCATCCGCCGACCCCGTGTCCACCACCGCCTTCTCGCCGATGATGGGGCACGTGACTGGGGTCGGACTTACGGCTAAGCCAGCCGCGTGAAACCCTGCATCTGGCGTTGGTCCGGCTTTTTGACCCAGGCCGGGAACGTATAGATGCCGTCCTTCTCGAAGATATTCATGGTTTGGCCCGTCTTGTAATTGAAGATGCCGCTGCCGCCGTTCTCCTCGGAGTCGAACCAGACGCAGTTGCCGCCCTTCACCATCTTCGATACAGAGCTCAGGGGGCGGTGGATGTCTCCAACCTCCCAGCTGGTTTTCATGTCGCTTCCACATATGAAGCCACAGACCAAATCTTGTTCACCATCCTTCTGCACGGTGTGTTTGGGCGCCGTCTTGTAAGATCGAGGCTCACCCCCTTCTTCAAAGGATGGTCTTTTGCCACGTGCCACGGCAGCGCGCTCGTCGAAGCACCCGAGTCCACAACGATGTCGATTCTCTCGCGCCCTTCGTGCTGCCACTTCCGCCAGGGCCCCTGGGCAGATACCTCTGGCCAGGCATCCAAGGCGCACAACTCCCCATGGCACTCCTTGCGGGAATTTCTTTGGCGACCACGGCTCGATTGCGAAGCCGCGCTGTCCCGGGACTACGGCGTCTCCGACCACCGAGGCGCCTCCCACCAAGAGGCGTTCCATGAAGTACGGCTCGGAGCCCTCCGCGGCGCCGAATCGCCCCAGTGCTGGTTGGACGCCCGCGTGTCGCCGAAGTCGTCCTGGTGCTGGTCGTTCTCACGCTGGGCCTTCACCTCCGCGCGCTTCCTGCCGTACTCCTTTTTCTTCGCCTCTTCGCGCGTGTAGCCAGCCTGCCGGTGCGCCCAGTACCCCTCCGAATACTCCTTCTGCTCGTCCTCTGCTCTTCCTGGCTTCTTCTGCTGACAATGCTCCTCCTCAGCCTCTGCTTCTCCTCTGCGCACGCTCCTCCTCTTCTCATCTGTCTCTCCTCTGGTTATACTTATCCTCCTCTGCTCCTTCGCTGGCTTGCCTCTGCGTCTGCCTCCGATGGCGGCGCTGGGGGCAGCGTCGTCAGCCTCGCGACGGCTCGGCGCCGAAGCCGCGCGCTCTTCACCAGGGTTTGCGGGCCGCCGGCTCGATCCCGAAGCCGCGGCCGCCCCCGCGCGTCTGGCACCACCCACGGGTCGCCGGCTCGATTTCGAAGCCGCGTCCTCGACGGGCGCCGCGCCCTCCTCTCCACTGTCCTCACTGGGCTGACGGACGCCCGCGTCGCGAAGCAAGGGTGTCCTCGCCTTATCCTCCTCGCCGTCGTCTTCCTCACCTTCCTCATCCTCTTCTCCTGGCAATTCCTGCTGCTCTTCGCCTCCTCGTCTTCCTCGTCCTTCTCATTCTTCCTCCTCCTTCTTCTCCTCCTCGGAATTGGGGTCAACGCCCGAATTCTGTCGGCGATGTCAGCCCACGCCTCTATCTTAGGCAAAGGACAGCACGGGGGCGGCGTAGGCGACGTGCTCCTGCTCGACGCTCCTGGAGACGACGACGCCGACGACGTCGACGAACCACTGGCGCGCTGCCCAGGATCGCGCTCCAACGCGAACGGCGAGCCCATCTCGCCTGCAGCTGCCGGCGCGCCCTCCTGCGGGTAGGCCTCGGACATCTCGTGCGCTCCGCCACCGCGGCCTCCACGTCGACTTCCTTTGGGCGTGCCCTTGGGCTTGCCGCCCTTGGGGTCGCTCTTGGTCGCCGGCCCCCTGGGTGGAAGCTGCTGGCCGTTGACGTCGGTCCGGCTGTAACAATCGGCGCGCTTGTGACCCCAGCGCCAACACTGGCCACAGTATCCTTGGAACTGCTGTTGTCCGCGCCCAGCTCCCTGGCCACCACCGCCGCCACCGTCTTTGCCTTTACCGTTGCCGCCGTCCTTACCTTTACCTTTGCCGCCGCCCTTGCCTTTGCCTGCCCCTTTGCCCTTGTGCGCTCCTTTGGGCCCAAACCAGCCGATCTCCATCGGCGCCGGCCCATTCCTGGTGACACTCTGCTCCACGTGGCGCTCAATCTCCTGCTTGAGCAACTCGTAGGTCTGGAGACGGCTCACATTGAGGTCCAGGTGGTTGCTCAGCACGTCAGGGCACATCGACTGAAGCGTGGCACGCTTCATGGAGTCGCTGAACTCCTCGTTGGCGCGCTCCTTGTAGGACATGTAGTCCTGCTCCCACTGCTCGATGGCGCTGAACAACTGGTCAGGGGAGACCTGCGCTGGGCGCAAGATCTTCCGGAGCTTCCGAAGGTTGGCGCTTGGATTCCTAGGGTCGTAGTTCTTGCTCAGCTTCCGCCAACCATCCAGTCCGGATGTCTTGCGGGTGTTCTTAATGATGTCGAAGGCCGTCGTGCCGTTCGTCATCAATGACGTCAGGATCGCGAGCGGCCCCCTGTTGAGCTCCGTGGCCTTGGGGAACTCGTCCACGATGTCGTTGATCCTCTCGCCCGTGATGGTGGCCGCGCCCTCGCCGGCCGGCCAGGCCAGCACCTCCTCGGCATGCTCGTACTGCGAGGCGAAAAGTGACGAACTTGTACTCCCAGCCAGCCCAGTCACTCTCCTTCCCACTGAAGGTCGCCGGCTTCTGCACGGCCCTGCTGTCGACCATGCCCTCGCGCCTCCTTGAAGCGCCCTCCGCTTTCAGGAACTCGGCGTTTTGTTGCACCGCTGCCTGCAGTGCCGTACTCTGCTCCTGCAGCTAACTGGCCAGTCCGGCCATGGCCTCGTCAGAGCGCTGCTGGGCAGCTGCCATGGCGGCCTGCTGCTGCCTGAGCGTGTCGCTCATCTGGGTGAAGGCGGCGAGCACCTGCTGCTCGTTCATGCCGCCCTGCCGGAGAAGGCGCAAGGCTCGATTCCGAAGCCTCGCCTCCAAGCTCACGCGCCTCAGGCGCAAGCTCCCATCCCGCGGCCGCGCGCGGGGATGGAGCGAGTCGTGGGGACGACCCGCTCCGCTACCATGAACGCTTTTTATCTCTCTCGGACCATTCAGATGGCTGCAGCATGAGCACCGATTCCGTGACATGTACACTGGGCTCCTGGGAGGCCCATTTCTGTTCAGGTTCCCCCAGTTGCGTTCCCTGGGCGCCAAGCAAAAGCAAAGACAAAAGTGAAGGCAAAAGCGAAGGCAAAACAAAAGCATAGCATAGCATAGCATAGCATAGCATGGCAAAGCGCAGCATAGCATAGCGCAATATCACATAGCATAGCATAGCATAGCATAGCCGAGCCTAGCCCAGCCCAGCATTGCGCAGCACAGCATAGCAGAGCAGAGCATAGCGCAGCACAGCATCCACTACTGCTGCTGCTATGTATACATATACAGATGTACTTACATGTGTATGTGCGCACG